TAAAGTTTGGGATCTTGTTGAACTTCCTCCAGATGCTAAGACTGTAGAGAACAAGTGGATTTTCAAAAGTAAATTAGATTCAAAAGGAAATGTTTAACGAAAGAAAGCAAGATTGGTTGCAAAATATCTCACTCAGCGAGAGGGCATTGATTATGTTGAAACCTTCTCCCCTGTTTCATCAAAAGATTCCTTTCGAATTATCATGGCTCTTGTGGCACACTACGATTTGGAGCTTCATTAAATGGATGTTAAGACAGCATTCTTGAATGGAGATCTTTCTGAAATGGTTTATATGAAACAACCTGAAGGTTTTGTTGTGAAAGGAAAAGAAAACTTATTGTGTAAGTTAAACAAATCCTTATATGGTCTCAAGCAAGCATCTCGACAGTGGTATTTGAAGTATGATGAGATTGTGACCTCTCTTAGTTTTGTTGAAAATACTATTGATCAATGCATTTATCTCAAAATCAGTGGGAGAAATTTTATTTTCCTTGAGATCTTTGTGAAATGGTTTATATGAAACAACCTGAAGGTTTTGTTGTGAAAGGAAAAGAAAACTTATTGTGTAAGTTAAACAAATCCTTATATGGTCTCAAGCAAGCATCTCGACAGTGGTATTTGAAGTATGATGAGATTGTGACCTCTCTTAGTTTTGTTGAAAATACTATTGATCAATGCATTTATCTCAAAATCAGTGGGAGAAATTTTATTTTCCTTGTACTGTATGTTGATGACATTCTGCTTGCTAGCAGTAACTTAGGGCTGCTTCATGAGACAAAGAAAATATTGTCTGCTAATTTTGAAATGAAAGATCTTAGAGAAGCTTCCTATGTACTTGGCATTGAAATACATTATGATAGACATAGTGATTTATTGGGACTTTCTCAGAAAGCTTATATACGACGTGTTCTAAAAAGGTTTAATATGCAGAATTGTGTACCTGGTAATGTACCTATCATAAAAGGAGATAAGTTTAACAAAACTCAATGTCCAAGAAATGAGCTGGAAAGGGAGTCTATGAAGATGATTCTATATGCTAGTACTGTGAGGAGCTTGATGTATGCTCAAGTTTGTACTAGATCGAATATAGCCTACGCGGTAAGTGTCCTTAGCAGATTTCAGTCTAATCCAAGACAAGAGCATTGGAAAGCAATTAAGAAAGTTATGAGATATTTGAAGAAAATTGAAAGTTATATGCTTACATTCCAGCGTACAAATCATCTTGAGGTGGTAGGATATTCAAATTCTGATTTTGTTGGGTGTCAAGATGATTTGAAATCAACATCAGGTTATATTTTTACATTAGCTAGTGGTGCCATTTCTTGGAAAAGTGTTAAACAGACTTTAGTGGCATCTTCTACTATGCAAGGTAAATTTGTGGCATGTTATGGTGCTACAGTCCAAATCGATTGGTTAAGAAATTTTATCCCTGGCTTGAAAGTTGTTGATTCCATCTCAAAACCGATCATTATCTACTGTGATAACAGTGCAACAGTATTCTTTTCAAAGAATAATAAAAGTTCTGGTTGATCAAAACATATTGACATCAAATATTTGGTTGTTAGAGACAGAATTAAAGAAGGACAGACGAAAATAGAGCATATCAATACAGAGACAATGATTGCAGATCCCTTGACTAACGGACTCGCTCCAAAAGTTTTTAAGACACATATTACTAATATGGATATTGTGGAAACATTTGATATTTTTGGTTAGTGGGAGTTATATTTATGTAAAAAACTATTTTTTGGGCTTGATCCCTTTACGGGGTACGTAGGCAACCCATATATTTTCGGGTACAGCCCCTTCTAATAATAAAATATTTTTTTCCCTATCCATGAACTATTTTAAGCATGCATTTGACTTATGTCTTTTTATATTATTGACATCTTGAAATATAACGTATAAAGACATAAATGAGTTTCTTTTTGAGACATGTGGCTTCATTTTGATTCGAAGCATTATAAGGACCGATATGAGTTAGCACAGTTTTTTGATCACATTCAGTGCTAAATTCGTACCACATACTACCACATTGGTTGGAGGATAGGGATCCATGTCGATAAGAATGTTGACATTTGTAGCTGTGAAATGGTCTTACATCTCTTAAATTGGTGTAATGACTTCCATGTTCGGTATTAATATTCTTGTTGGACCGCATCATGTTACGTAAAGTGTCATCATTGGAGCTATACTTTTGTGGCTTCCTATGTAGTCTAACCCGGGTGTTAAAACTTTGTTATGGCAATCAAATGTTTGCCCAAGTGGGAGAATGCTAGAATAATTAATAATTCCATATGTGGGCTTCATATTCGATTTCAAAATTTTACGGGTTAGATGTATAGCTCATAATGATATTTGTGTTTGGGCCAAATTTATTAAGTGATCAATTGGCCTTTTACACCTTACGGGTTGTAATTAAAAGTATGTCGGTCGGAAATAAACCCTAATTCGAATTATAGTCGTAATGGGACGGCTTAAATTATTTCCTATATATAAAGGTTAGGTCCCATCTCCTCTCAATAGCTTTCATTAGCTTGCCCCATTGATAGCTAATACTTTTGTGAGGAGCAAGGAGGGGAAGATCTTGACTACTATTACAACTATAATTCATATCAACAATGGCTTCCGCAGGTATGAATTCGTTTTATTAATTTATTATGTAGTGATTCTTGATTCTTAACATGATTGAAATTAACAACAACAATTATAACTTAACAATTTGAAAATTATATATATTCGCATATATAAAAAAGGAATTGAGATCTGCTGTCCAAATTGATGTTCACTCAATTAATTAATATTGACAGGTCATTTTAAATTGACAGGTCATGGCAATTTGGACAACAACATTGGACCATAAACCCTAAACTCAAATGTGTATGTCACTCCTTACAATTTAATATGAATTTACATAGTTTATTCAATCATTTTTATTGTTTATGGACTAACATTTGAACTAATTATTATTGCTTTGAATAAACTTTTGCGTGCCAATCATTTTCTATTGGATTATAAGAAAAAGAAAAATGAATTTGAGTGGGAAGCTATTTTTCATGAGTAGAAATTATTTGAAAAGGGAGTTCTTTTTCTTTATGTCCAAGTTCATCCCTTTTTAGGGTAGATTTAAAATGATTATTAAGAGGTTAATATTATATTAAAAAAATGGAAGAAGGGCAAAAAATTATCGATTTTTTTTTTCTAATTAGTTCTAATTTTTTTGAGCTTCCATTTTTTGCTCTTTTTTTTTTTTTAAATATTAATGTATTACAATGTTAGTGTTTAATTGTTGGATCTTTGTTGTATATTGAAGTCTTTTACTTCCATGCAAATTTTCTATGTCAAATGGCATTCATTTATGTGAACTCAAACTCTATCACCCCTTTTCTTTGTGGGTGTGAGAGTTTCTTTGCATAGCTAAATCAGATGATTTATATATAATTGAATTTTTTTATCGATGAATTACTTAGACTATAGAATGTTTAATTCGCCTTTTTCCGTCCATATGTTTAGTGCATCATCGCTATACTATACTCGATTGAACTTGACAACATAAAAGACAAATATTTTCTTTTTTCTTTTTATCTTGGTCAATCAGGCCATCTTTCTTCTAGAATGGGATAGATGATTACTTTTGGTTCATACATGCTTGTCTACATTAACTTATCACGCGACCTATTGATCTTACTGAACATAGAATTTTGCACCTACTCTTTGAAATCGTTCGAATTGGCATTTGCAATATATCTACTATACTCATGCCTAAACTATTAAAAAAACAAAAACAAAATTTACCACTCATACATTGAATAATGATCATTTTAGAGAGGATTTTTCCATTTGTTTTACCCTTCGACAAACTTTTATATTGACAATTAGTCATGCATTCCTCCAATTTACACTATGAGTTCGGATTTATCGCTTTTACAAGATCAATTCAGGTTGGCTCTAGTTCGTTTGAAAAATGTGGTTCGAGAAACTATATGTCGAGCAAATCAGCATAAATTGATACCAAATCTTCAAAATTCAGTAAGTTCAACTCCATTAACAATCATTTATAAATCTTTTTTTTTTTTATCTCAAGTTTTGTATCGAACTAATTCATTGACACCAATAGGTGATGGGAGAAAATTGGGTTATTTAAGCTTTGGAGAACTAACACGGCGAACTACTAGTTTTCGAACACGAGCGTGTGAATTTAGATGATAGTGAACTACTATGAAGTTGATTACTTTTACAACAAAGTGAAGAAAAAAATGTTCGATTTAAGGGCGTAGCTTTGGCGCTTAAGGAAACAAAACTTGAATGTAAAATTTCTAAGAAATATGCAAGTAGTAACGCTAACAAACGTAATTTAAAATGAAATTTGACAATATCAAATTGCAGAAGACTAAAGTTTCGGTAGCAAAGTATAAATATCCCTACTGTTTTGTGGTCAGAAGTATATTTCATGGAATTATAGGGACTAATTTGCAATTTTAACAAAATAACAAAACAAACTTCAAGAATCTTGGCCATGAGAATATACTGTTTTATTACCGTTGTTATAACGGCATAAACAGCACTATTTATCACACTAAGTAAATTCAAGATCCTCTTCGTTCGTATCTCATTTTTTACTCCTAAAATTTCTTCTTAATTACCTAACACATTGTCCAATAAATGTAAATCTATTCTAACTCACAAACATTAAGTCAGTTGGTCCATTACTGTCACTTAACCTAGACGAGTGCTCAGCGCCAAGTCGCCAACCCTATTTGGTTTAAATAAAAATCAATTTTGTAGTAAATTTTAATAAAAATTAATGAAATATATAGTTAGAACGTTGAGTCTTATAAAATATCTCATTATAATTAATTATTAACTTTGATTTAAATTTTAATTCATTTTTTAAAGTTGAATCAAAGAGGTGGAGAACAGTTAAAACTCTCACTCTCCCGATAAATAAGGATCCACCAACACCTACCAACCCTAATTCCTACGTACATGCAACTCTTCAATCTCTCTTTCTACTCTGAAACCTCCGTAGTTTCTCTATAGCCAGCCATGGCGTCCCTGAACTGCTCAGCCGGCCAGCTAGCTCCCCTTTTCGGCGCCAACACCACAAATGCGACCGCTGCTGCGGAGTACATTTGCAGCCAGTTCTCCGCCGTGTCCAACAAGTTCACTGATACCGCCTACGCCGTGGACTCCACGTACCTCCTCTTCTCTGCCTATCTCGTTTTCTCTATGCAGCTCGGCTTCGCCATGCTCTGCGCTGGCTCAGTCCGAGCCAAGAACACTATGAATATAATGCTTACCAACGTTCTCGACGCTGCCGCCGGAGGTTTATTCTACTATGTCTTTGGCTTCGCCTTTGCCTTCGGCTCGCCCTCCAACGGCTTCATTGGCAGCCACTTCTTCGGCCTCAAGGAAATCCCATCTTCACTGTTTGATTACAGTTATTTTCTTTACCAGTGGGCTTTTGCTATAGCCGCCGCCGGCATTACAAGCGGCTCTATAGCCGAGCGAACCCAATTTGTTGCTTATTTAATTTACTCTTCTTTCCTCACTGGATTTGTATACCCCGTAGTCTCTCACTGGTTCTGGTCATCAGATGGTTGGGCCAGTGCAAACAAAACAGAAAATCTGCTATTTGGATCCGGAGTCATCGATTTTGCCGGGTCGGGTGTTGTTCATATGGTTGGTGGGATCGCCGGTTTTTATGGTGCGTTGATTGAAGGTCCGAGAATCGGGCGGTTCGACCACAACGGCGCCGCCGTGGCTTTGCGCGGCCATAATGCGTCCCTGGTGGTGTTAGGGACTTTCCTTTTATGGTTCGGGTGGTACGGCTTCAATCCCGGATCCTTCGCCAAGATTCTTAACCCATATACCAGCGGGAATTACTACGGACAATGGAGCGCCGTGGGACGCACGGCGGTCACCACCACCTTGTCCGGCTGCACAGCAGCACTGACCACCCTTTTTGGCAAACGAATTTTATCTGGTCACTGGAACGTGACGGATGTTTGTAATGGACTGTTAGGTGGTTTTGCAGCGATCACTGCCGGATGCTCGGTGGTGGAGCCGTGGTCAGCGGTGATATGCGGGTTCGTGGCGGCATTGGTGCTTATAGGGTGTAACATAGTGGCGGAGAAGGTAAAATACGATGATCCACTAGAGGCGGCGCAGCTGCATGGAGGTTGTGGTGCTTGGGGTGTCATTTTCACTGCATTATTTGCGACTGAGAAATTCGTGAATGAGGTGTACCCGGGAAGACCAGGTCGGCCATACGGGTTGTTCATGGGCGGGGGTTGGAGGCTTTTAGCTGCGAATATGGTTCAGATTGCTGTAGTAATCGGGTGGGTCAGTGTGACTATGGGTCCTCTGTTCTTTGTTATGCACAAACTCAAGCTTCTTCGGATCTCTCACGACGACGAGTTGGCAGGTATGGATCTGACCCGGCATGGTGGATTTGCATACACTGACGATTCATTGAAGCAGGGAATTTAGCTAGAATAGAAGCAATTACAATTTCGAATTAGGCATTCATTGTTTAATTAAGTTGATTGAAAAAAATGTACGTAGATGATGTCCCTAAATAAATTTTATTTCGGATTATTAGAATGACTAATGAATTATAATTTTATGAACAAACTATATGTTGATTTGACTTGTAACAAGAGGCAGTCTAAGGATGATCCAAGCTCGACTGGTGTAAACAATAGCAGTCAATTCACAAGCTCCAAACTAATGAGCAGCTCGGTCAATTTGTCACCCCTATATATAAATAAAGAGGAAAAAAAATCTAAAATGAAAATGTAAGGAAAAAAATCTAGAATAACTAGATGAGAAAGAATTTAGCCCCATGTTAACATTTGAAAATGTGACAAAAATTTTCATCCAAAACAAAAAACAACAAATTATAACCACAAAATTTTCGTTCAAAAATAAATGGAGCATCTGTCTGGTAGCGATTAATATCTAGATTTTAATAATAGTTAAAGTTTACAATTAATATTAAATACATATGTTCTGGGATCCACAACTTTTTAACCAAATATTTTGTCAATTCTTATCAAAATTTACTTTAAAAAATCTAATTTTCCACAACTTTTTAACCAAATATTTTGTCAATTTTTATCAAAATTTACTTAAAAAAATCTAATTTTAATCCCCACATAAAGGAATAAAAAGTGTCATTGAAGCTGACATACAAATTTGATTAATTAGCTTAAAAACTTGTGTTTGGAGAATACACTTTTTTTTCCCCCTTTTTCTTTTTTAAATGGAAGTGCTTCTTGTAGATTGTCCTAGCAATTACTTTATTTTTTGAGTAAAATGTTTATTACTTACCAACTTATACTTGGTCATATAGTTTACTCATAAAACTAATAAAGTTCTTTTCCAGTGATCAATTTTTAAGACATTGCACTCCATAAATTATATGTCAGATTTCGTTTCCCTCTTTGTTGACATGTTAAGAGGAAAAACCTACGTGGCATGTTATGATCATCAACAAATGACAACTCAATCGAACGATGTCAGTATAATATTTCATTACTCACATAACATATTTTACTGTCATAGCTTATTCATTAACTTTCAAATTGCTTCTCAATGGTCACTCGTCTTTAAGACGTTGCACACTATCAATCATCTGCCAGATTTCGAGTTTCGCAGATCAAGTGTTTTTCTTGGTTGACAATATTTTTTAACTATAGCAACCTGTTTACAATAAGTTTATACGTCAAATATGGTTGTGCATTGATCTAAGGGGAAAAAAAAAGTGTGTAAAGATAAATATGTATATATGTCGTATGTATAGAAAATAAAAATTAAACAAAAAATAACGGTACAGTAAACGCGATGAATGATTGCCCTCCTCACACCTCATCCGCCTCATTGCCATCTACAAATCTCAAGCAAGAATGAGAAAATTTGGGAGGATTAAGGGAAATAATAGGTTTATAGGTTAAAAAATGCAATGAACAATCGAATTTTTAATATTTAAGGGGGTTAACACAGTCATTTCTCATGTGTTAGGGGGTATTATGTGCTTGTTTGGTAGGAATTTTGTTAATTAATTTTTTGACCGTTAAAGATAAAGTGATTCTTACCTGTGAGAGAAGAATTCAAAAATGACGACTGAAATAATGAAATAACGACCAAAATTTTAATTTTAATTGAATTAAAATTTCTACCAAATGTGATCTATATTAGGGGTGTAAGCGGTCCGGTTTTATCGATTATTGACAAATTTTCAAACCAAACCGTTTAAAACGGTTTGAGAAAAACTCAAACCTAAACCAAACCATTTTGAACGGTTTGAAAAAAACTCAAACCTAAACCTAACGATTTGGTCCGGTTTTAAACCGTCGGTTTCACCATATATTTTTTGCCCGTCTACTTTTATATCATTAATTCATTGAATTTAATATATATTTATATCTCACTAGTAATAAATTTAAAACAAACTAAGCCCCTGTTTGAATCAAATTTTTGGGACAAAAAAATGAAAATTTGGATTGTTATTCTACAAGTCCAGCCGCCTTTGTTAACCTGCTATTTCATGTGTAGGACCCAACCTCCTCTCCAATAGTCAATTTTCTCATTATGATGATATAAAAAATATGGCTCAAACAGAGATTAAATATATCTACTATAAATTTAAATATTAACTAAATCAAAGTGAAATCACAATAAACTAAAACACAGTTTTTTTTTTCATTTTTGTTCACCTTTTTTAGGTTAATGACGATAAAATAACGTTACAATACAAGTCTACTAAACTAGATATAAGGTCAAAAAAATAATGATATCCAACAAGACCTCGTGATTATTATATCTGAAAAAAAGATATTGATTAAACAAAGAGAATAACCAACTACAATAATAAAGCAATTGTTTATAATATCTAAACATAACAATTACACAAGTTTACGTTTGTATGATGTTACGAAACACATTTAATTTCAAATTCTTACCTTAGTTTGCTCCAAAAAATTATTGATCTGAAACTTTATTTGTAGCAAATATTATCACCGAAGGTCTAGAATCTATTTGTCTTCGATTTGGTATAATAGACTTCAATTCGACTTTGAAGATGCGTGAAAAATCTGAAAAAAATGTGTGGTGCCGATGGCTCAAAACCGTGTTGGGTGTCGACTGGAGTTCATCTAAATTTTGAAGAGGAAAATGGCTTTTGATAGATTATGTTAGTCTTAAAATTATTAAATATATATTAGGATTATTGGATGATGATAATGATGATAATAATAATAATATATATATATGTATTAGAAAATTAGAAATTGACAAAAATACCCACAAATGACAAAACTATTGAATTTTATATATTTGGATGAATTTTCAAAAATTTTCATTTTTTTATTTTTATATATTTTTTCACCGGTCCGGTTTGGTTTTAAACCGTAATTAAAATTCTCAAACCTAAACCAAACCATTTTGACCGATTTGGTTTGGGTCAAAATCATTTCGTTGACGGGGTCCACGTGGCACCAAACCGACGGTTTCTAAAATGCGATTTCGATTCGATTTTCCGGTTGAGCAATTTTTGCTTACAGCCCTAATCTATATATTCTATTAACATCAACTTCCTGTGGGTGGTTCTGGGGTGTTGACCACATCTTTTAGCTTAATTGGTTATTTCGTACCTCGTGCCAAAATTGATTATTAGGCGGGGAAAATTGTAACAGTTGACCTAAAGCTATATCACTAATAGAATCACCTTCTGAAAATTATTGCATGAAAGTACTAGTGTACGACAATTCAACTTGACTCATTTTTATAATTTATATGGAAAAGTTAACAGAAAAACGTTTACACACTTTTTTGCTAGGGTCGACCCGCCACTGCACCCGAGGTGCAAATTTATTACAAACAAGTTGATATGATTGAAAACATTCACGATTAAGAAAAACACTTGATTTACACAATTCTCTATTAAGCTCATCGATCTTTTGCCTTTTCAAATCCTTGAATTTCATAAGATCCAACGTTCTCCTGCATCAAGACTTCGGGATTGCTTTTGTCATATTTTGACTTGGCCTAACCCTATTTATTTTCTCCTTGTCTTTGGTTTCTCTAAACGCTTCTTCAGGTCAACAAAGGAGCTGCAAAAGATTATCTAGGCCTGGGATGTTTGGAAGTCAGGTATCACTCCAAAACATTCGTTTATCATGTGGTTAGGCGCCCAAACCAAGCTGCAAACCAAGGACAAAATGCTGCATTTAGACATTGACAGAACTTGTGTTGGAAAAAATAGACGTGCATAAATTATATTTAAATAACATACATTTTATGTGCAAAAATCGAACAGAATTTTGACTTATCAAATTAAATACGTAAAGTAGAAAAAGAAATGCATGAATATGAATTTGGTCGAGACAAGAATTCGACTTTTTTTCGTAAGACGATAATGCCTCGCATTAGTGCTAATGATTTTTCGACATTCGTCTCCCAAGATACAACAACCATATCTCGTAATAAGAGCACTCCAAATTACGTAGACCAACGAACCTACTTATGTTTTGAACCCTTTTATATGAAACTTGACTCCAAATATATGCAGAATTTTCAAGTGAATATGCATTAATATAATAATACAATCATGAAGTGAATCAATAAATGAATAAACACATAGGATCTATATATAGATGTTGAAAAGGTTTGTTTCAAAAGACACAACCTATGGAAGAGATGTAACTATTGGAATTAGTCTTTATATTTAAAAAGACACACCTCTTGGAAAATGATAATGCCAAAATTCCCAATCCTTTATATAGAAAGATACATTTTCAATCAAATAATTTCTAGAATATTCCATAATATTCTACGTAATTTTTCAATAATTTACGTATTTAAGTGACTTAAATTCGACTTAATTTTTCATTCACCAAATAACAACTTCCACTTAAATAATTAAAAATTGGTCAAAACCAAGTACATATACAAAATTCCAATAATCCTCCACATGAATTAAAATTAATGCAAATGACTATGTAGACGCTAAAGAGAGTTCAAACGGAAAGTTATTGCATCTGGATAGGTACCTTATGGGTTTGAACCTTTCGTAGTAAAATATTATCGAATTTACTTAGCTAATCAATGAACACAATGTCTTGAACTGTCAACCGTTAATGTAAACCAAGACAATAATACTCGCACAATAACCTCCATAACATTTTCGAGTTTTCACTGTTGTGTTCATTTTGACCCTAAACAACTCTTGGATGTCATAAGCGCTTTAGAGAATTCAAGCCTTGAAACATCCTTATAGAAGCGGCCCCACTTCACACTTATATAGGTGATCTCCTATTAAGAGTACCTGTCATACCCTATTTGATTTGTCAATATATAGGTATCATTAAAAGTATAACTTAACATAAAACTTTCTGCAGATAGCAATTTTCTTATCATAGGAATGGCTAGGAATTAAATCCCAAATGCTTATTGAATCTTCATAATTTGGTTGTCCCATTAAACCAAAATCTTAGAATCTCCAATCAACAAGATTGTGTTACCATTACAAAGATCCTTACATAGTAAACTTTAAGCACATTCCCCTCAACATGCAGTATGCTTGATCTCACGATAAATCTTTTCTTAGTGGATCCACGAGTTTACACCATTTTAGATCAATTGTTTAATGGTATTATGTCTATGACTTATGCATTTAGACTTACCATTACATGTGACTTAGTATCTTATCAAATATAGCTAACCAACGATCGATTCATTTAATAGACACACATTGTCACCAATTAAGAAATCCTCTTATACAGGTACATGTTTCTCATTAGCTAAAGCTTTGTCAATTCCAAAGAACAATGTTAGAGGATTTCTATCAAACACTACATAATTCAATCATATTTACTAATGGATTTCAGATCACGGGTATTCAATATCATTATTGAAACATTACAATGCATTTGAACTTTATAAATATTCCGATTGTTCTTACACATCCAAACAATTGTCATAATCGACTTCCATCTCATTTCATCCATTATAAACTTAGTGTATATCATCCTTATATTTAGTATAAGGGCTTTCTACCTTTTCACCTGCATTATTCGAACCATACTTCAAGTCAATATAATTGATTTGACCAAGTAAATAAAGGAAATTGATTTGACCACATGCATTATTTACACCAAGTTTTAAGCTAAGTGAATTGATTTGACCATATGATTAAAGGTATTGATTTGACCATTTTCATGACAGTACATCATTTATGCATTGACCATGCTAACATCTAGCATTTTCTTTCACTTTTTCTACACATGGGTCAAGAATTTACACTATACATAGAAGATAAACCCAACACTAAACTACTCCTCAACAATTATTTACCAATGTTTTAAATATCAGATCGGACCGGTCGGTTCAACCGGAAAAATAGGGAACCGGCCTCAAATTTGGTCCGATACTAATAAATTAATTGGAAATGAAAAAATCAGTAGATAACCGATCGAACTGGCCATTTTAGCGGGAAATCGAAAAATCGATCATGATTTTTACCGAGTTTTTTTCCAAAAAAATAATAATAATAAAATTATAATTACTTTGATAAATGGGCCCAAGCATTGGCAAGCCCAATTTTACGTTCCTTCCAATACAAGTGTTGTTTTTAAAAGAGAAGAAACATGCAATGTTTTTTTCAACTTCTAATGTAGGATAAATATAATTATTGTTTTTAAAAGAGAAGAGACATGCAATGTTTTCCTCAATTTTCAATATGGGATAAGTTGTAAAATCCTTTGAAATTTATATATTTAATAGTTGTTCACTTTTTTCTTTCCATAAACAAATTTTGGCCCCAAAAGCCCAAATAATTTCAATTTTAACAAAGCAAATTATTTCAAACACAACATTTGTTAGTTTTTGATGTTTTAAAATAAATTATAGGATAATAAATAATTAAATCTAATTGACAAATATTGATTTATATTTACTTTGAATTAGTAATACTACAATTTAAAAAACTGTTGTTGTTATAATATTTTATAGTTTTTTGGATTATTTATTTATTTGATTTTGATATCCGTTTCGATCCCAGTCTGACCTATTGATCCTTGACCCTTTTATGGGTCGATGTCCGGATCGATTTTTAAAACATTGTCCAAAAGTTTATTTTTATCTTTACTCAATTGTTGAATTTTACTATATAATTTAAATTTATAACTCATCTCTTGATTTGTTAAAATTCATAAATCATGAATTAGTGATCAAGCAATCCAAGCATTAACAAAAGAAGTAAAATTATTACTAAATAAATTAACTACGCATAGAGGTTAGCCGTCACATGGAAAATGAGCTGCAACAAATTATAGTACCTCGCTTTGACCATGGAGGCTTAACCGTCGCATGGTATCTCAGTTGAGGTGAGTTCATCACTTCGACTTCCTCTACTTGATGGTCTCAATTAGGTCAAGTAAACCGATATGTGGAGTGTAGTCTTGAAGTTAGTTGGCCGTCACGTGACAGTCTCATAGAATGAGACAATATATTCAGTGGTGGATCTAGGAAAATATTCAGGACGGGCTGATACGCAAAAGAAAAAAAAAATCACACATAATCTTTTTTTTTTTACATAAATTTTTCTTTTTAATTAGCATTTATTAAAAATTATTATCACCCTATTATGTCTCTACTTTTCAGATAATTGATGATTCGAGATGGTCGACACAGAGATGGTTTATGGAAGCAAAAATTTCAACAATAAAATTATTACGCTGTCAAACTATTATCATTTCATTTAATTTTAAATATTTTAAGATATTCCTTGTTTCAAGTTAATTTATTAAACTCGTTATATTATTTAAATTTTGTAAATGCTTTAATAATTTATATGTTTGTGTTGAATATTTTTTAAATTAATTTTAGTTTATGATTTAGTAACACTCGAATCGTTAAGGATAACGATTCGGGTCGCCACACAACAGCAATTCAAAATGTTACAAAATCAAAACTGTCCAAAGAATTGAAAGCCAATTAACTATAAAAGTAAGAAAACGAATGCCATTACAACATTGACCAAACTATTCATATTACCAGCAACATAACAGATTTCCATGTTATGATGCAAACTTTTTCTGATGAAACAACAAATAGCGAGACATTAACTGGGATAAATCAACGGAAACGGTAACTTGGTGAGATCGTGGAATGGATAAATAAACAACGGGGAATACACAAGATTAATTGATTGATGTCTGAGTCTTTTAAGGCGAAGGATTTCAAGGAGTCGGAATCAGATAGACAACAAAAATGCACCAATGATATATAATGGAAATATTACTGGCAATTAGAGAACATAAAAAAAGTTCTTGGTTTTCATTCAACCATAATCAATTCCTAATTTTTAAATGGTACATCAATTAGAGAACATAAAAAAGTTCTTGGTTATCCAAAGCACAATCATTTCCGCAGTATTTAATGGTGCATCAATTCATAAATCCTAATTTTTAACCATGAACACACATCTGTGCCGTGCTCATATACTCGCATAGAGGCACTTGACCATAAAATGCAAAAGTTACTTATAAAACATGAAGGTCGAATACTAATCCTCCTGATAAAACGGAGTCGATTTGATTTGATTTGATTTGCTATTCACAACGATAAGATTTTCGGTGAGGCATACAACAGTGTCTATCATCCTAAATCCTAAATTCATTGCAAGAACAATTAGGTACTCATCTTGTTATACATAGGTATTATTGAGAGCAGCTCTTGTTCCCACTAGATGGGGCACATCCTGCGATTTACCTCCCTCACAAAGCTGGGCCGTGGAGGCCCTCAAGGTTGGGGTTCAACCTCTTTTTTTTTTTTTTTTTTTTTTTTGGTTTTGGAGAGCAGATTCGCCCTAGCTTAAAAGGTTTTTTAGACAGCATTAATGGTGTCATTGCCCCCAAAGCCCCCTTTTTTTTTCCTTTTTTCTTTTTGGCTTTAAGCAAAGCCAAACAGCTATATGCAATTCTGAACCCCAATTACCCTGTAAAAATTCAGTAAAACACAGGGATATACCAAGAGGTTCTACACAACAGCAATTCAAAATGTTTAACACTAAACAAAAATTCCAAACAATTGATAACCAATTAGCGAAAACTTAAGTAAAAAAGCAAGCAAGAATTGACTGAACATTTATTTAAATTTCCATATAGCAAAGTCATATTTTTTCAATACACGTTCCAAATTTCTTGACAACATAGTGAATCAACGGCTTAATTTGCTAAAAACATGGAATAGACAGGAGAAGATAGCAAAGTACACAGTTTTAGTTGATGTCAGAGTCGTCGAAGTCATCCTGGAAAGAGTTGAAGAAGTCGGAATCGGCAAGGCGGTGGAGTTCCATCGAGATTGGACCCTCGCCGAACATCTCTAAGGCTTCAACGTCGTCCACGTCCATCGCCACGGTGGATCCGCCTTGCTCCTCCATGTCCACAAAATAGTCCACCGGCTGCGGCTTCATCGTTCCTTCTCTCTCTAGAATGCTCTCTCTTTTTCTCTATGGGAATTTTTTCTAATGGGTGAGTTCAGCTTTGGTACGAACTGCATATATAGATGGGCCGAGACGGAAGAAGTCCAATTCTGAGCCCATAATTATCAAACTTTTAGATGGGCCAAACAACAATGTGAAATTGACACAAATAGCACAAAAATTGAACTCTTCTAACATCCTTGTGGATGTCATTATTTCTTATTTATTCCAGTTCGTACTTAATCAAGAATGTCCCTGTATTTGTTTATAATAAAAAGAATGTAAATATATGAATATATAGCTGTTCTCTTTCACCCCAACGTGAAAATTATGTTGACCATAAGTCAATTTCACAATCAAAGAAATAAGTAAATAGTATAATTGAACTTTACACAGTGTGAAATAAAATTTACTAACATATATTATTGTAGGTTTACGTAGCCCGTCGAATCGGACTCTACGAATTCTACAATATGTCATAATATAGTTTGGGGACCAAGTTTGGACTTACCTATAGACAGATTATCTGCAAGAGTTTAGGCAGACCTCACCAAGCCTAGTAATATTAAACTTCTCTATTTAAATAAGTAATAAGCTCTGTTTTTTTTCTTTTTTTTTTCTTTTTTTGGGTCCGAGGGTCTTTTAATACCTCCTTTTGTATTCATTTTAATTCTCGATAATCATATCCGAACTTCGAGTTATACGACGAGTTTTTTTTAATTAATGATTTCTTCTGAAAAATATCCTTAGTAAACAACTATAGGAAAATGCACTTCACCATTTCAGACCAACTTGATACATAATTTGAAGAGTCAAACTTACCTTCGATTTATACTTTGTTGTGAATATATTTAATAAGTAGTAGATTTTATAATGTTCTCTATTGGTGCTATAATACTAGTCTGAGTGTCTAATTGATATGTCATCTTAAATGAGACTCGTATCCCTAATTTAAGACAATCTATCAATTAATGATACTTTATGCAACTATGTCTATCAATTAAGATAGCAAGCAGATGCAGGATGCTGAAGGCACCCACAGAAACTTTCGTGAAATATGCCAACCGTGACGAAACAAAGAAACTAGAACATACGTACAATTACACCCACGTAGACATGCATTGTGTGTGTGTGAGAGAGAGAGAGAGAACCTTGTCAATATTTGTGTGATCCAAAGTTTCACAGCAAGCGACAGTTAAAGGACAAGTTGTAGACATCGGACAGCTCAAAAACCGACAGAGAATTGTACTGAAGATAGTAGTAGTTGAGCAACTATTAGAAACATTCGACAGTTTTTTACATATTCCAATAATATAATCTTGTTTTGTTTTGCTAAAAATAAAATTTTTTTAGATTTAAATAGAAGTTGATGAAATTTATTATTGAAAAAAAAAAATAGATTTAGATAGAATCCCATGAAATGTAATTTTGGATTTTTATTTAGATTTTTATCAATTTTTTTAGTTAAACCAAACATAGACCGACTAGAAAATATATACACTGTAAGGAAAAGAAGGCCACTCTTTCCCAAATGTAGGTTCTCCAAATAGCATTGTACGCTTGTTATTCTTCAAAGCATGGGGTGAAATTTCGATAGCACTTGTAGATCCTTTTTTTGATCGGTAAATGTAAATATGTATAGATCATAATCCTGTACAAGTATTCTAGGCATACCTAAACTTACAAATAAACATTACAAATGATAGATAGTGCTTGTAAGTGCAATTCTCTTGGCTTCAATTTGTCAAGACATCCCTTGAGCCTCCTACTTGATCTACTTCAAAACACTAGCTACCATCGATCCCCTAATACTCGATCGAATCTGTCCCAACATGATTGAACTCAAAGAACTCTGAAAGAAAATATGTTGGACAGTTTCAGCCTCTGAACCGCATAACACACAAGTTGTTGGAATTTTGTATATGTACTTGGTTTTGACCAATTCTTAATTATTAAAGTGGAAGTTGTTATTTGGTGAATGAAAAATTAAGTCAAATTTAAGTCACTTAAATACGTGAATTATTAAAAAATTACGTAGAATATTATGGAATATTCTAGAAATCATTTGGCTGAAAAGGTATCTTTCTATATAAAAGATTGTGAATTTTGGCATTATCATTTTTCAAGGATGTGTCGCTTCAAATATAAAGACTAATTCCAATAGTTGCGTCTCTTCCATAAATTGTGTCTTTTGAAGCAAACTTTTTCAACATCTGTATATAGATCCCATGTGTTTGTTCATTCATTGATTCACTTCATAATTGCATTATCATACTAATGCTTATTCACTTCAAAATTATGCATATATTTGGAGACAAGTTTCATATAAAGAGTGTTCAAAACATAAATAGGTTTGTTGGTCTATGTAATTTGGAGTGCTTCTATTACGAGATGTGATCGTTGTATCTTGGGAGACAAATTTCGAAAAATCGTTAGCATCAGTGCGGGGCATTATCATCTTAAAGAAAAAGAGTTGAACTCTTGCCTCGACAAAATTCATATGCATGCATTTCTCTTTTCTGCTTTACATATTTAATTTGGTAAGTCAAAATTCTGTCTGATTTTTTGCACATAAAAGATGTTATTTAAATATAATTTATGCATGTCTATTTTTTCCAACAATCTTAAGACGATTTTTCGTGCATTTTATATTATTCATTAATCTGATTGCATGATTTGGACACCAATATATTTTTTTTTTTGGGTTGGACAGAGTTTTGTGGAACTCTTAAAAATTGAATCGATGCAGACATGAGAAACTATTATGTTATTGTATGAAATGGTGTGTTGCTGTCCATGCATGAATTAGTGTATGAAATGGTAGTTTTATTTACGTCCATTAAATTTCCAATTGATGGATTAGAAGTAAATCCACTCACTTGTTCCTAGATCTGCAGCCTGACTCGGTTGATGAATTATATCACTAATTTTTCTTTGGAGATCTGATTATTGACAGATAATAAAATACAAAAGAGGATTACCAGTCTGGATACTTTGAATAAGCCTAGAACCTGAAATATGTTTTATGAGACGTGAATTTCAAATAGTGAATTTATTTGGTGGATCCATACAAGGGTTTGGATTTCGGACGGACCTTTTGGTCAAAATGGCCTAGTTGGTTAAATTTTCATATTCTGTTGAAAATTACATTAGCTTTGATTAATGATGACAAGCTCAATCAATTTGATGAATTAAATGAGATGATTTATGCAAAATTATATGTGCATAAAATTATGACAATGTGATTTTGTCCCAATTATTTTAAAGTGCCCAATTATTGGGATATGAAAATATTTTATAGAACACAAACGGTGTCTGCAGTCAGCAATTGTACCGAATATCCTTGAAAATAATGATTGTAAAATGACATTCATTTGTAAAGAATAAAACTATATTATGCAAAAATTGTGAAGAATATTATGAAATATTCTAAGATCAAGTTATATGAAAATGTGTGTCTTTTCATATGAAAAATCATGACTTTTGGTATAATTATTTTCCAACGGGTATATCTCTTATAGAGATTAATTCTAGGAGGTGTGTCCTTTTGTAGAGTCGTGTTATTCGATAACACAACTTATCAACCGTTGGTTGATTCATTTATTCAAAATTTGAATATAGTGAATAAGGTGAATATGTGCCTTATTATCTGACGAAAAATAATCTTGTGAAATATCAATTCTTGAATTTAATCGTGGAACCAATTAAGTTTGTATATGCTTTGAAAGCATTATTGATCTATATGATGATCTTCATTTAATTTGGATGATCAAATTGATATAATTGATTGAAGTACAATTTTGAATGGAGAATAAGTTTTCATTTGTATGAGTCGATGACCACTATTTTGAAAGTACTTAGACTTTCACAAAGTATTTGATACGGAGATTATCTAAGTGATAAATGAATTAAACTATGAAAGAGTTGATAAACTCTAAGTTCAATTGTAACCCAAAAATGTGGGGGATTATCATAAATGTTTGGTCAAATCAATTATATTGGCTTGAAGTATGATGTGAATAATGCACATGATCAATAAATCATCTTTAATTATGACCAATTGGCATATTTACTTATGTTTTACACATGATTTCATCTAACTTCTAAAATAACTTTTTACTAGTCCCTCAAACTATTGGTCAATAATTAACAAGGTCATTAGACTAGATCAATAATCAATAAAGTTATTAAAATTTAATAATGGCGCACTTAAGTTCTAAATTTAAATCTAACCAATAGTAAAAATTTGGGACGTTACAATAGAAGTATTAGTGTTTTCTCCCTACTATAGTGAATTTTCACAGTAATTAAGGGCTCTAACTGCTTAATGAATTGTGTGACTAGATGAATAATTATTTGAGAGCGGATTTTTTGTGCATGGTTTGTCGAATTTTAGGATTTGACTAATTGTTATTGTAGGCTAGCATTAATTATGTGGAATATCATTTTTTATTCACAAATAATGCTATCTAGCACCCATCTACGTAGCCATACCTGATAGGTACAATTAAGTGAATCATGTGACATTGCATTCAAGTAAATCTATCATTTAATATCATGCAATTAATCATCTAGACCGGTGCTCGACACCATTGACGGTGAAAAATTTTATCTTTTTCTTTTATTTGGTGATGGTGGGGGAGGGGGTATGGTGGATGACAAATGTATGAAGAAAACGAGACTAGCAACGAAGCAAACACAATGGCAAAAAGGATCTCAATCGTTACAACTGTGTTTATGAGTTAATAAAGATCCGTACTTGGAAGTAGAAACACCATCGGATGTTCGGAGTTAAAAGTTTTTTTTAAAGGTCTATGGCGTTATTGTACTTGTGGAATTTAAGGCGTGTGTGTTTTTCGACGCTTCCATCATACTTTGGGAGTTTGGTACATGTTCTTATGTCATTTAGGATTTGTGCTGTTCGATTATTCATGGTACGATGATAATACTTGTGTAAGAGAAAAGTTCATGCAAATAA